GAGTTCCTTTCGTCATATGTCTCATGTCGGGCACCGGCGTCCTCTTGCTCGCGTGATCTCGTGACTTCGCGATCACTCTGCATATGCAGCTCGCACGTTGACACCAAAGACGCAGACATGCTGCACGCCACTTGCGCGGTCTATGAAAGACTAGATCCGCGATATCCGCCGCTCTCACGGAGCTTCCTCATGCCCGCGAGTTCACGGTCCCCACTCCGAGGAAGGAGGCAAGTCGGAGGCCAGATATCGCATCTAGCTGACAACTCCAATGCCCAACGCCATCTTTGAACGGGCACGACCCACCATGCATCACTACCCAATCCGCACGCTGGAGCAAGCCACAGGAGCCAATGCCATCTCGAGCTTCCAGCAGCATGCCGATTGACCCACTGTACACAAATGATTCGTATTGCCAAGTCACAGCCATTTTTGCAGATTCGCGCTTTCGAACATACTCTTGAGCGTGGCTTAAATGTTTCCATGTGCGTAATGCACGTCATGCGCCAGCTCGCAGCTCGCCAACTCGCACGTTGGAAAGGCTGCAGCAAGGGTCCCCACGCGCTGATGTTGTGCAGCTTTGGTGCTGTAAAGGGGCGGGGGGAAAGCGTTGTTTGTTCAAACGGGCGTTGGGTACGGGGAAGGCCAGCTGAATTGGGAAACGTGTAGATACGTGTGTTACTCATCTGGTGTATCTTACGGACAAGTTGTCACTTACAGAGGAATACACGATAGATAAATGTATTGACGCAGTCGGCTGGATTGTCCATTGTGCGGATATGTCGATGCTCATGCAGGTATGCACGATACTGTTGTGCATATTGTGTCTCGGATGGTGGGAAGGGCGTCCAAATGGTCGATTACTGCATGCACATATAGCCGCTGCGTCTGATGATAATGCTTCACCATGATCCATCTGAGCCCGGCAGCCGATGGTGACGAAAAAGTCGACTTATCCGGAATTCCCCTGAAGCTGAAGTGAAGTGGAGGTATCGAGGCGGGGTGTTTTGTGGAGACGCTGAGGTTGCTGACAGGTGCAGAATACACGCGAAATTCCGCAATGACTGTACTAGTAATCATACGTAGCCTTTCTGTTTGTTCCAGAAGCTCTCGTAGCTATCCCATCCGGTCACGAATCCCCCGTGCAAAAAGCGGCAGCGAGGCCTTCGACGCGGCCAAAAAGTCGGTCCGTTCCTGCGCACACATACCGGAGCTCGACGGTAGAAAGTGCAAAAGTGAAGGTCGTACCCGGAATCGAACCGGGGTTACCGGAAGCTTCTGATGTTCAGAATCCGATGTGCTAACCGCTACACTGTAGAGTTGTGAGCGGGATGCTTGATTGGGTATCAGGTGGTTTGAATTAAACTGACCTATACAACCGAATCGTGGCGGCATTTCTCATTTTAATATTTATTACAGCTAGACCAAAAGCCTGTGTGCGGTAAGTGAGTTAGGCGCTAAGCCGACCGTAACCGGGCCGATCTAAGCTCACCTTCACCGATGTTGTTAGTCATTGGCGATTTGAAACGTGATCTTGGTACTTTACGCAATCATTGGGTGAGTTTGCTGTGCTGTCGTACTTTGATTGCTATGTTCATGCGAGCATTGATGCCTCTTTTCCAACCAACTCCTGTGGTGGCTGCCAGCTTGTGTCTCTTTCGAAACGTTGCTGCTATCCTAAGCTTCGGTCTATGTGTTCGTTCTCTTCGTTGATCTTGCAAGATATACTATGACGGCCAGAGCTCTTACTTCCTTATCGACTCGAGCAGCAAGCGCGTCGTCGAGCGTCAAGATCTATATACGCTCTATGTTTGCTCCCGCAATCAATTCTTCTTCCATTGTTCGACTTCCGTCCATGGACTTCCAATACATGAGGTATCTCTTACACTAGAACAACTCCAAGTTTCCGCCTTCTCGACGGCATAGGCTTTGAGCCGCTGTATTCCTTGGACAAGAGTACGATCTGGTACCCACGATGCTCCGGATATGCACAAGTTCTAAGAAGAACAAAGGCACAAACAAGGTTCCAAGAACGTTTGGTAGCATAAAGTCATCGCATTCATGTCACATTTAACTATACATTTTCCTATCGGTTTTCTTGTTTACACTACCTGCCATCAAACTCTCCCTAGATACCCAACACCTTGTTCGCCACCACAATCGCCTTGTCCAACGCAGCCTTCTGCGAAGGGGTCAATTTCAGATCAGCCAGAGCAGCCTCGGCCTTCTTAATCGCATCCTTGACTGGGCCCGTCGTCACCGTGGTGCCGAGACCCTCGCGCATGAAGCGACCGCCTACGAGCGTCAGATTGCCCTGGGTGACGAACTGTTGAAGGTTGAAGGGCGCGCGGGTAGCCTCGGCGAGCTGCAGAGGCGGGATGACGAAGTTGGGGGGTTGGCGGTAGATTAGGTATGTGTATCTGTGTCGTGTGTTAGCGGTGTGTGATAATCGAAAATGCGTTCGAAGTGGGAAGAGATGGGTGTAAGTTGTAATGGAGCGGATCATTCCACGTACCTGTGGCTGGCGACACTGAAAGGTGTCAGCGGCGCATACATGACGAAAGTCGTGCCGCCCTCGGTCGTTGTCGCAGGGTTCGGCATGCATGATGGACTGATATCGTAGACGATCTTGTGCAGGAATTGGCGCAGCAAGGGATCTTCCGGGCCCGGCGCGTCCGGGTCGATGATGATGAAGAGGTACTTGGTGGTGGAGGGGTCATAGTCACTTTCGGTGGTGAAGTTGAACACGGGGTCCTGAATGGTTTCTGAAAGGTGATATTAGTATTGGATATCATCATAGTAGAACAATGAACGATGCGCACCTGCGGCAGAGAAGGTGTTGCCGAGCTTAACTTCCTTTTGACCATACGCAACGTAAAGGTCGACCTTGGGGTCAATAGAGGGAACCACATCTGGGACAATCTTGGCGGATGTAAATGCTGCTTTGATGGCAGACGCCTTTGATGGAGAGATGCCAACGGGTGAGCAGGTCGAAGTCGTCATTCTTTCTTCAATGGGCGTGGCGATTACACTGGCTGCCACGGCAAGGGCGGACAGAAGGTATTTGTACATCGTGGAGAGTGTATGGTCAGGACAGTGATAGAAATCAATGCTTGAGTTGTCGTAAGCGCGAAGGAAGACAGATGTTGTGTTAGGGAAATGGTGCTCCTATATAAGCCATTCCCACCAGCGCCATCGTTTCTGGGGTGTAGTCCATATTCTTTAGGCGAATTAATAGAGCCCTTTGCCTGTGGGCATGCGGCTTAAGCGGAAGAAGGCGTGGAGTTTAAAGAATAAAATGCTGATCTATCAAGAGCACGCGGCCTGGACTTGTATACAGGGTATTCGCACGTCGGGCTGTATCCTGGTAGTGCGAAGCCACAAGCCGATCGCCTCTTTAACGAACGATATCGCGGAACTCCTCCAGGTCCTGTGACAATCAGGCCTAGAAGAAGTCCAGCTCGAACGTTTTGCTAGCAAGGGTGCAGCCCGACGTGACAGCAGCCTGTAAGCTTAATACAAGTCTTCCACCAAGACGATGAGTTGAGCACAGGGATAGTGTCACACTTGCAATTCTTGGAGAAATCCCAAGAAGATGTAACACTACAATTAATCCACTGGTCATGTTCGGAGTAGCCCTGTCTCAATGCGGGGTACAGTTGAAATGAAAAAGTTAAATTTCGGATGGGAATTACGATGAATCTATTCGAGTTACAGGGTAGATGTAGGTTAGCTCAATTGATAGCTACTGATTGGGTAAATTGGCCTGCTGACGATCATTGACAACAAGAAGAGAAGCGGACGAAGGATTGCCAAGAGAACAACGACCCTTGTAAGCAAGAAATGGTGAGGCGGGACCTGAAGATTTTCGAAGATGGCGACGATCAACTGGACCGATTGAGTTAAGCGATTAAAACCTCTTTTGTCGCATAGCCCAATATGCCTTCCACGGCAGCCTCCAGTCAGATCTTCGCAGACTATTATCAAAGACATCAAAGTCGACTTTCTGTAGACGATCGAGCCACATGGTAGTTGCAACGGCAGGCAAGAGTACGCCAAACGCTCTTTCTACGTCCTGGAGCTGCCCAGAACCACTCTTGCGCATCTCTTGTACGCTATAATCATGCTCTTCCTCGTCCGCGTGTTCAAACTCGTGACCTACATCTGCTCCTGCAC